TTTCTGGTGTGCAAGAAATGTTACAAGCCTAGAACTTCTGAGAAAAGCCAGAAGGCCATATGTGATGACACACACCTTTAGTTCCAGTACTCAGGAGATAGGAGTAGTTGGGTCTCTGTGAGTTCCAGGACAGCCAGTGAACCAACCAAACAAATTTTTAAAAAGCCCAAAACCAAGTTAACAAACAAACAAACAAAAAGCTTAAAAAAGAGATCAAGTACAGGGGTTCACATCTATAATCCCAGCATTAAGAAGGCTAGAACGAGAAAGTTACAGGTTTGAAGCCAAGAGCCTGGGCTACATAGTAAGACCAAAACCAAGCAGAGAGCAAGCAAACAAATAAAGGAGAGAAGTAGGGCCTGGGTATCAGACACTTGTAATAATCTCAGTACCCAGGAGACTGAAGCAGGAGCCCATCAGTCAAGGCCAACCTGGACTGCACTGCAAAACTCTGCCTTACAGACTAGTATTTACGCACATAAAGAGAGAAATCTAGTCTCTAGTTTCTTGATCTCCTTTCTAGTAGCATTAGGGAGATCACAGTCCGAATTCCAGTCACAAAGAAACAGTGTCTGAAGGCAGCATCTTCCCTGCAAGTTATGATGCCCTGACCAAGGCCCATTAAACAGATGGGGGGAGACCATTTTGCCTGTCTGCATCTATGTGTATGTGTGTGCTTGTACTCCACCAAGAGGAAGCTGTAGTGCTACTATGTCTCCTCTTACTACTAAAAGGTCTTAGTATATGGTAGAGGATTTAATTATCTTTAATACTTTTGAAGGTTTTAAAATTTTATTTGTGTCTATGTGTATGCAGGTGCCTGTGGAAGCCAGAAGAGGGCATCAAATTCCCTGGAGCTTGAGCTGCATGCAGATGGTTCTGATCATTTGATGTGGGTGCTGGGAACTGAACTCTGGTCCTCAAGCAAGTGCTCCTAACCACTGAGACATCTCCCTAGCCCCAGTTATTTTCAACATCATTTTTAGTTTTTTACTATAAGTAGTATATATTTGCCAGTAAAAGACATAAAACATATCCAAAATTCCTCCTTCTTCTCCTCTTCCTCCTCCTCCTCTTTGGTTTTTCCAGACAGGGTTTCTCTGCATATTTCGGGCTGTCCTGGAATTAGTTCTGTAGACCAGGCTGGCCTCGAACTCGAAGAGATCCGCCTGCCTCTGCCTCCTTTGTGCTGGGATTAAAGGCGTGCGCCCCCACTGCTTCCCAGCATCCTTACTCTTTTAGATGTATTTGTTGGATTTGGCTGTTGTTGCTTTTGAGATTGTCTCACTGTGTAGCCCTCGCTGGCCTAAGTCTCACACATGTAGACCAAGTTAGCTTTGAGTTTGCACCAGTTCTCCTGCTTCTGCCTCTCAAGTGCTGCAATTACAGGCGTGTGCCACCACACTTGGCCTGTTTGCTTTTTTAATTAAGTGCTGGTATGACAGGCTTGCACCATCACAGGGGCTCATATGACCCTTTGATCCATGTGTGTCATTGTCCTTAGCTCAGATTCACTGCCCCAGCACCTGTCTTCTAGCCCCTCCTGCTAATTTTCCCTTCCCCAGATCATCCTCCTCTTGCATGGGTGTCCTGTATTTAAATGAAGATTGCCCGTAGGAGAGAAAACATGCAAATTTGCTCCCCCACACACCCCATGACCATGTCTCATTTCCACCTCCCATTAGTCTCCATGCTCTCCTGAAATAGTTCTCTTTCTCCTTTGATTTTAAGGTTGCTTCAGACCACTGCTGTCAGTGGATAGAGGAGCTTGGATCACAGGCTTGAGCCAAGGTGCCAACTCCAGAAGCCCCTTGTTGAGGCAGCTGGAGTAATCCTTTGTACTCTCTCCTCTAGATAATCATGATGTCATTTCCCTGAAGTTGTTTGAGCTGACTGGGGTGAGGACCCCAGAAGAAGAAAAGCTACATCGAGATGTATTCCTGCCCTCAGTGGACAATCTGAAGCTGCCTGAGAGTGAGTGTGGGATCCTGGGAAATGGCCCGTGGTCAGGGATGAGGTTGGTATCCATGCACTCTGGGGTGACTGGCACCCACAGCTGTCAGGTTGGTCTTCCTGTGCTCTGCTGGGCACACGGAATGCCTGCACTACCTTCCCACCTGTCCTGCTACAGCTGTTACAGCTGTCAGGTTGGTCTTTCTGTGTTCTGCTGGGCACAGGGAATGCCTGCACTGCCTTCCCACCTGTCCTGTTACAGCTGTTACAGCTGTCAGGTTGGTCTTCCTGTGCTCTGCTGGGCACACAGAATGCCTGCATTACCTTCCCACCTGTCCTGTTACAGGCAAGCAACAGCAGGTATGCTGCTTCATTTTTTAATTGAGCCTTCAGAAAAGGGGGAGTCGGGGATTTGGTTCCCCAGAAGTGGGTGTCAGAAACCAGGGATTGGACAGCATGTTGACCCAGTGTAGGATGGGCTCCGTATCTCTGATTGTTTGTCTTTTTTCTTTTGCTTCCTCAGTGACAGTACCACCAGCACCCTTGAGTGGCCTGGCCCTCTTTCTTATTGTCTTTTTCTCCCTGGTGTTTTCTGTGTTTGCCATTGTCATTGGTATCATACTCTATAACAAATGGCAAGACCAGAGCCGAAAACGCTTCTACTGAGCCTGCTGCCATCAGTCTCTCTATGATGTTTACCCATGAGGTGTGGGTCTGAGCATACAGCCTGGCAAGCCTGCTTGAGTTGCCAGTTGTTCAGGAACTGTTCTGTCACTGGGGCAGTGACCCTGCATTCTTACGGCCATCCACGGAAACATATCACTGGCCCAAGATGCCACACACAGGGCCAAGCAGCTGCGATGTGCCTTTCCTTGAGTCCTTCCACTTAGGAGTGAAGAGACATGGAAAAAATATATATTGTGAAGCCTAAATTACAGAATTGGATAGCTACCCCAAGCATGGACTGGATGCTGCAGACCTTCTACTTCATTTTTAAATTCCCAAATAGAAAACCAGAACTCATACAACCTGGAAAACCACTTACTAGCTTTTGCTTTTGCCCATGCCTCTTTCTACTTGAGGAGCTCCTTGGCAATCTGGATGGAGACTTCTGCCACACCTGCCTCTCTGTCTCCCTTTACTCATTGTCCTCTTCGTGTGCATTCTGAGCTAGGAAAGAAGTTTGCTGCTCCCATCAGGTGGCCCTAGGGGCTTTCTGTATTAGTTCATTGCTTCGGCCTCTGTTCTTTGCTGGGCAAACCTTGTTCCTGTCTGTCCCCGTGTCCTCAGCTTTCCTAATCAGAGCTTTTCAGATCCTTGGATCTTTTGGCTAAAAGTTGTTAAAGCTTGGACACCTCACAGAGGCCGTGAGATTAACTGTGACGTCATCCAGGTCCAGATGTGCCGCAGACGGCAACGTTCGTCACCTCCGCCCACGTGGGTGTGTTTCTGGACCCAGTGGAGCCTGCTTAGCTGCATGTTTTGTTTCTCATGGTTCTTGGGCTCCTGCTTTGAGTGCTGGAAGTGAAAAGCAGCTTTCTTATTCCCTGGACTTGGACATGATCCCCAGAGGAGATTTGGCTTCTTAATGAGAAGAAAAAAGTTGCTGATCTGTAACAAATCTCTGAGAGCAAAAGACCTTCGTCCTCTGTGTCTGGAAAAGTTCTGACCATTGAGCAGCATGGCTTGAGTGCCGTCCTATGTGTGTGTCACCCCATTACACTGCCTTATTCTACAAATGTCAAATGCTGCTCACCTGTCTGCCCTGTGATTAAATTGGTTACAGGCTAAGTCTCCCCTGGGGGCCTGAAACTGAGTGTTTTCTGGGTCTCTGAAGCCCAAGGAAATTTCTTAAAGTGACTGATGGAACAAATCATGAGTCCTGGCTCAGTGACCTCCTTCTAGGGTAGGCTTAGTGGGGAGGCTCTGTCTTTTTTTCTGAGCCTCAGGGTATGTCAGCTCTTACCCTGTCCCTTCTGGGTGCTGGGAAAGCCCTCATGTTCATCCCTCACCCCGTCCATCCTTAGACTAGGAGAGGTCACTCTGGCTGCAGATTGGTGTTCATCTTCTCAGGCCTCTGTCTTTCCCTTGTGCTTAATTAATTAAGCAGGATAGTATGTTGCTCTTCTGCAGGAGATATAAAGGTGGGGTGGAGAGAGCCTCCTCCTAACACCTTCCCACAGTAGCAGAATAGGAGAGCTAGGGGATGAACTGGGGTGTAGAAATTGGCCTTAGGACTAGGAGAACTGAAAAGAAATGGTAGTTTTGTCCATTTTGAGCTCAAAGTGAGGGTGGATGGGTACAGGTGGTAGAGGACTTAAGTGGGCCATTGAGATGACTGCCATAGCAGTGGGACTGAAGGATTTTACCATGGGAGGAGTGAGAGAGAGGGTGAGTCAGGTTTGTGTGATTCCTGCTCATGAGCACTTCAATGCTGTTAAAGGTCAGGAGATAAGATCTGTGGTCCCCACAAAGCCTGGGAACTAGTCTTTTTGAAATGTATAAGAAAACTACCCTGGCCTGGTGGTGGTGGTTGTACACCTTTAATCCCAGCACTCAGGAGGCAAAAGCAGGTTGATCTCTGAATTCAAGGCCAGCCTTTCCAGAAAATAAAAACAAACAAGAAAACCACCCATTCATCATCATATATCCTGCCCTAGCTCTTGCTTTTTGTTGCAGAAACAAATGTTTCCCATGGCTAGTAAGGCTATTTTTCTGGGCATTGTAACTGCAGAGTATGTACTGGATGAGGTAGTGCCTGGTCCCTGATGTGGCTCTTGTACACTCATACTTGGGTAAAAGCCGTGGCTCCAGTATACAACCAACTCACAGTTACCCTTTTCTTATTTCTCTGTCAAAGCCTCCACACACAGAAGAAATCCAAGACTAGGTGGGGTAATTAAATGTGGCATCATTCTCCAAGTCTCAAATAAAGAGCTGGCATTTCCAGCCTTTCCTGTCTTTAATCCCAGCCCCCAAATTCCAAGGTAGCTTTATTAGAAAAATGTATTTATTTCAGTAGAAAATGCACAGCCCCTTGGCCATGTTCTAGAACACTCAAACAAGGATCTGCTGGGAAGCCCAAGAGACAGGGTGCTTGGCAGGTGAGAGAAAAATCAGGTAACCTAGCCTTGTGGAGCTGGAATCCCTGGGACGACATCTTTCACATGGTTCCTGTGTCCTTGGTGGAGTGTCGAGGCATTGTCTTTTAAAGGCTGTAGTTTTGAACCCTCTTCGCGATAGACAGAAGAGTTGATATTGCTGGTGTTTGCTGAACTGATAAGGTTGACTATTTTAATGGGAGGATTCAATCGAAGTTCAGGTTTGATCCAGGCCATGGCCAAATAGTTCTAGAGAGAAGAGACACTAGAGTAGCCTAAAGTAGAAACCTAAATGTACTGTCAGAGCTGACACAAGAGTGGCCAGTGCCTTTGTCCCTTCCCCAGTGTTTAGCACTCACCGGAGCTGAATAGATGAAATTGAACAGTATCATGGCCAGTAACAGTGTCATCAATAGGCAGATGATTTTGTAGCGGTAGCGTTTGCAGAAAACATAGCAGAAGTTTTTAATCGGTGACCGGATCCACATGAAAGGGGAGTCATGTCGTCTGCCCATGACAGTAGATGCCAGAGAATGGAGGGCAAGAGGAGCCTTTAGGTCAAGTTATCCAGGACTGTTGCCTCCTTTTTTTTTTTTTTTTTTTTTAAATAGATTGGGGAGCCCCTTACAGTCTTATTTCCAACTGTAACTTGGCCATGTAGGAGGAAGTAACTGTCCCTTTCCACATGGAGGACCACCAGTCACCACCCTATACAAAGGAGGAGGAAAGGGCCCGGTGCCTCTGCCCCACAGGGCCCTTACACAGGAGGATGAAGTTTGGGGAATTCGTTGGGTTCTGACTGGCCTCGCCCAGCTGGCCTGATCAAAGCTTCCTTCTCTGTCAGTATCTCCAGAGTCATCTTCACTTTTCCCTAGAGATGCCAAAGGCAAGGAGGCAAGGGGCAAGATCATCTCAGGACCACTTCCCTACCTCCCCAAAGGAAAGGAGCTTGAGCTGAGGTCCTAGAAGTCGGTGAGAGCTAAGTTAGATGGCATGGTGGTCCTATTCACTAAACACCTTCCCCAGCTCCTACCGACAAACGCCACTTGTCACCATCGAGGACCTGACAAGGCCACCATCCAGTTACATTGGTCTTCTTAAAGAGAGAGATGCGCTTCTGCTGCGTGTGGGGCCATTTGGGGTCCGGTTCCATCATCTTGAGGGAGCATTGCTTGCTGCTCACAGCCGGAAGGGGCATGTCCGATAAATCCAGCTCCAAGACCCCTGAGCTCAGAGAAAGGCCATCATCAACACGAGGAGTTGCTTATCCCGTGTCACAAACCCTACACCAGGACCTCACCTAAGAAGTCATCAGGGCTGAAGAGGTCATTGTCCCATATCTGGATGATGAGCCTGGCTGGAAACTTCATTGATACGGGATCCAGGCTCCATATGTAGTCCTGGAGGGTAGCAGAAGCTGTGTTAATGGCCTACTTCACCGACATTTCCCTTGGATACCTGTTAGCCCACGAGTCAGTAATGACAGACTATCAAGGAAGAGGGGTTCTGCCTGAGGACATGTTCCTCACATCCCGTCACAGCTTGCAGGTCTCTGAAACAAGGGCGAATCTCTGGGACCCTAAGGCTCTCACCCCCTTTCCTCCTACCTATCCCTTACCTTCTGACTTTGGACGCATACACGCTCTGTCACCAGGTAGTCTATGGTAAAGATGAACCTCCAGTTGAAGACGGCGTCCCCAGTCAGGGAGTGGTAGTGGACATCTGTCTTCTGCATGTCCTTCTCTTGCCCAAATAGCCACCTGAGGCGAGAGTCCTTTCACCCGGGGTTCCTAGGTGGGCCCCATCCCACCACACACAGGTGTGGGTAGAGAGCTGTTTCTCTCAGGACTAGGGGACTTTATCAGGGTGACAGAACAAGGTAACTAAGGGGCTTTCTGGAGTTGCCGTGTTTCGTCCCACCTTACCCTTTGACATAGATGTCACTCGTCTTGTCTCTACTAAAGGTTTGTTGAACCAGGTCCACTTGGGTCGTACTCCAAATGATACAGCGCAGTTCGTACCTGCAGTCACTGTGCTCTGAGACTGGGCTGAGGACCAGACCCCCAGCCACAGCCTTGCAGAGGGAAGAGCTGCCCAGAGAGCCTGAACTTGGGCAGGAAAGCTCCTGCTAAGCCTGATAGAGAATTCCCACTCCTTGGGATTGGAGGGTAGAGGCTCCCTGCACCCTGGGGGCTGAGCTGGAGCGCCATGATTGGGAATTGGGCTTTCACATACCGTTTAGGCTTTCTGGGGCTGATGTTGACTGGGCGACCAGGAGGCCCCAGCACGAAGGGGAAGACGTCGACCCACATTTGTATTTTCCCCTAAAGCCAGAATGGATTTACTGATTGGAGGTTGCTAGTCTCTCTTCAGTGAGTTGGTGCGAGGGTCTGAGGCTGGGATGAGACTGTATTCTCACCACCCAGGGGTGGGGCACAGAGATCTCTGGGAGGTGTAAAATAACCACCCACCAACTCCTTTAGTTTTTGGCTGGGAAGGCAAGTGAACTCTGAGACCAAAAGTAGGGTGTTGAGATTTCACTTATGAACTGGGGGTAGGGAGTGAGGAGGTTGTGCTTAGGTGGTCTGTTGATGGGGATCCATGTTGGGATTGGGCCTTATGTATTCAGCAGCATGGATGCCTTCAGTAAGGAAGCTGAATGGTCAGTAAGGTCATCGTGTGTAGTGTGACCAAAACCTAACAATATTAAGCTGGCCACAAAGTAGATAGTCCTGAGAGAATTAGTGGTAAAAATGGTGAGGAGAGGTAGCACCACTAGCCTTGGAAAATAGGTAAGTATGTTCTGCCTGTCCAACCATCTGACCTACTTTTATTCTTCAGAGTTGACCCATTTGAGAAAGTCAGTTTAATGAGGATGGTTATTTTAAAAATTGCTTAGCAGAAGACTTCATGAATGTTGAAAGGTTTGTGGAACAATGGAGCCATTTTTAATAGTTGGACAATGAGGGATAATTAAGGTGCCCTTGGGGATCTGTGTCCTTAGTTCCTTGCCATAGAGAAGACAGCTTGTAGTTAAGCAGCCAGAACTGGGCTTTGCAGTGTTAGTGCCCTCTGAGCTATGATGCCACTCCCTACACCTCTGGAGAGCAAAAACAGTACTAGTGGTTGGTGGGACACCCTAGAGCTTCCACAGCTGTTGTGAAGCATCCATTTCTCACAGCCTTTCCAGGTGTGACGTTCTCTAAGTGACATCATTGGAGCATCTTTCTTACTACTGTGCAAAACATGCTTGGCTCTTGTCCGTGCACACATGTGAGTCGCTGACCTGTCTTTGCTTCTCACTGTGAACTATGTCCTGGGTGGATGGACACCCATTCCTGATCCAATCCAGTCCAGCCTCTCTAGTCAACATACCTGGTCAATACCCGGCTGGCTATTACTGAATAGTGTGCGGGTCTCCACATGCTCAGGAACCAGCCCCTGGCTGTTCAAGATGTACAGTGCCAGGCGTTCCTTCTTAGGCCCCAAATCCTTAAGGGTAGGGGGTGTGGACTCTGGATCGAAGATGGGATCATGAAGTCATTAGCATTTCCATCCAAGTACCCTCCCTAACCCTGCCTGGATATTTGGCTACAATTGCCTTCTATGAGAAGAAGGGAAAATTGGAAAGATGTCATGGCTCTCTACCCAAGGGCAACCTGCCCTCCTCTCTCTCTCTCTACTCTTTCATTCTAGGATCCACACTGGTTCCCCAAGGCTGGAAGTGTGCTGGGCTCACCAAAGCTCTTCAACTGGACCATTTTCCCATTGTAGAAAACCGAGTCCTTCTCAAGGTCATATACAGGTGGCGGCAGCCCTTTCTGTTTGGCATAGCGGTCCAGAAGGTAGCTTGGTGACAGCTGATCCCTCCACCTAAAAGGCCCTGACCTGTGCGAGTATGCAAGAGGAACAGATGGGAAGGAACAGGTCCCAGAGAACATACTGCTTTGAGCTGCAAGTGAGGGTGCTGGAAACATGAACAAGAGGCCAGGCCAGCCCAGTTCTCAGCCTCTGGGAGCTGTGGGCTCACACCTTTCCACACCCAGCTTGCTTGCTGAGAGAGTCCACACTCACTTGCAGTAGCAGTTAGAGAGCCCACAACGGGCCCCAAAGCCAGACAGAAGTCGGTTCTCAAGGTCAATAACTGTCATTCCAATCTCATCATCAGAAGTAACTAAGTCAAAGTCGTAGAGCTGGATCTCCAGGTCCTTCTCCAGTGGAATGTTACACTTGAGTTCATACATCCTAGAGGCAAGGGGATTGGAAAGTGGCCGTGGACATGTACTCTGCCTCACTGGCCAGCATCTCAGCCAAAGGGTCCCTGCCCCATCTCTTCATTCACAGTCAGTGTGGGTGGCAGAGCATGGGAGGGCTTTTGTCCCCCAGAATCCAATTTCCAGACATGGCCAAAAGCACGGACAGAGGCCTGAGTGCCTTTCCTTAGGGGTAGGTGGGGTGTATGAAAAGGTGGTTGGTGGATTATCCACTTATCTTACACCTGTTGAGCCCCTAAGAGCCGGTGAGAGGCTGCTCACAGGGACCTTGGGGGCTCTAAAGGAATGCATCTGCCCAAAAGTGGCAGTGGGTGACTGGGGCAGCTCACGTGCCAAAGATAGGATTCAGAGTGTTGGGGTAGTATGAGTCCCGGCTGCCAAATTTCGTCTGCCCCAGTTTCAGGATCACATAAGGGTCACACTGTGGGGAGAGAAGCAGAGGGAAGAAAGAAAGAAAGGGGAATCAGGTTGGTCAGGGGGGACGAGTGTACTGTGTAGTGCCTGTAGGCAATGGCTGTGTGGGTACAAACAGCCTGAAGCACTATGGCATGCTGTGATTTAGGCATGGTGTGGGGACCACTGGTGACAGGTGGAACTACTATTTTTTTTTTTTTTTTTTTTTACCAGGCCATTGTAGTCCTGTGGCTGCAGGTTGATGGCTCGTATCAGGTATACCCGTACCATGCACGTCTGAGGGAAGTTGTCGGTCTCAGGCCAAGATGAGAACTGACGTGGGGGATTGGGGGCCTCTGGGTCCTCAGGAAAGGGGTAGATGCGGAAGAGACCCTGGGGGTGAGAAGACATTGACAGCCCAATCTGATAGTGCTGGTCTAACTTTGTAAAGCCACCACCCCACTCCTGCCCCAGTATAGCAGGGAAAAGGTTAGGCTGAGGGTGAGCAGGGGTCTTCAGGCAGGGACCAAGTTTAAAGGGACATTGGGCAAAAGCACTTGAAGCTACTTGGTGTTCCAGACTATGCTGGTGTCCACTCTGGCTGCACACTCATCCCTTCAGATTTGAATGTATCTGAGGTTTGCATCTTTGGGGGAACCAGCATGAGCTAGAGCTGGGAATCTGAAGGTCTTGCTTGCATAGGCTGATCTGTGTCACTCTACTTCTGGGACTATTTCTCAGGCCCTGGCTCAGCGTCCTCTGGGCTTTTATTAGAAACTTTGGGGACAGATGGGCTATAGGGAGACTGGTAGCCCAGTTGGTGTAGACGTACCTTGAATTCCCCTACCACAGGACTGTCCACCTTGGGTTTCTCCTGGTACAGTTTGAAGGTCTGGCAGAAATCCTGCAGGCCCTGGAAGTCTGGAACTGCCTCCAGCTCACAGTCATACACCTGTAAGGGTGTGTGCAGGACCCGGGCTGGCGGGAACCATCCAGAGATGAAGGGATCACCAGCTCCCAAGCCGTTTCCAAAGTGTTTGCCCCATCAGTAGCTCCACTGTCTGTTTCAGATGGAGCGGCTGGTGGAACTGGTACTCTTAGGGGGCAGTGTAGAAAGTCCCTCCGCCCCATCTAGGTGGGAGAGTGCTTGCTTTACAGGATCCCCACACTACATTAAGTTGAATGTAGTGCATACTTGCAGTTCTAGCACTCAGGAGGTAGAGGCAGGAGGTTCAGAGTTCAAGGTCATCTACACCTACATGGCAAGTTGGAGACCTGCTTGGGCTACATGGGACCTTATTTCAAACAAGGCAAACCAAACCAAAAGTTCTGCCACTTGGTGGCTTCCTGACAAACCAGGGCCAAGTCTCTAGCTCTTCCCAATGGAGATTTTGTTCTATTCTTTTCCCAGGACCCTTACCTTTAGGGTGTGGTAGTTTTTGTACTTGTACTTCAGGGACTTGTCATCATTGTCTGTGGCCCAGAAGAACTTGCTCCACCAGTCCACGTCATACTCATAGTCATAGTCATCCTGACACAGAAGGGGCTCTGGCTGGCTCTCAGGCGGGGCTAAAGTGTCCCCTGCCCCCCCCTCCCACCGACTGGGGTTGTCCCTTGTTCTCTGGACTGAGTCTACTTTACCTCATCTTTCCTGGAATCAAACCAGAACTTCTTGTAGAGGAAGTCTAGGAACTGAAAATTGAGAAAGTTGGAGAAGGAATGGAGGAAGCGGCTGAGGTGGAAGCTCAAGGCTCTCCTGACCCCTTGCACTAATTTACATAGGTCTTTCAGTGTAGAGAGGATGGGAGAACCATGCCTCTTAGTGTTCATTACCCATCTGTATAGACAGGACTCATGCTTAGAAATGCAGACCCTCACACTGTATCTGAACCTATGGAGGCATTTTCCCCCCCCCCCCCCCACCCCCATTCTCACCATGTCTACGCTGTGATCCTCCTGCCTCAGCCTTTCCAGAGCTGGGATTAGAGGCCTAACCACTATGCCCCACCCGACAAAATCAACCTTCCCTGCCTCCCACATCTTGTGCTAGGTATGGAACTCAGGGTCTATGCACTGCTAGGCAAGCAGTCTGTCACTTAGGTACATTTCCTAGCCCTTGGTTTTTAAGACAGTGCCCTGCTTACGTAGTTCAGGCCGTCCCAGACCTTCAGTCTTCCTGTCCCACTTTCTGAGTGCTGGGATTACAAGCATGTACCATTTTGCCTGGCAGTGTTTACTTTTGATGGAGGCATTTAGGAACTGCTATGCATTAAAATGTGATGTTGCCCTAGAGCTGTAACTGTGGAGCACATTAGAGAGAGAGGGACTTGGAACAAAATCTTAATGACTGGCAACTCTAGTGGGATCCCTCAGTAGCCAGGGTCTCAGATAAGGGGGTCTTATACAGTGCTTGCCTTGTGTGTTAAGTTTTCTTGTTGCTTTGATTAAATACCTTGACGAGACGCAACTTATGGGAAGAAGGGATAATTCTGGCTCACAATTCGAGAAGTCATGGTGAGGAAAAGATAGGGCAGGTGTCCGAGGCACCTGGCTGCATTTCGTATGAATTCGGGAAACCGAATGATGGATGCCAGTGTTCAGCTTGCTTTCTCCCAACCCATGGGATGGGACCCACCACTTTCAGGGTGGGTCCTCTCACCCCAGTTGCCCTCATCTAGACAACCCCTCACAGACATGCCTGGAGGCCAGTCTCCTGGTTGATTTCAGATCTTGTCAAGTGGACAGTCAGTGTTAACCATCACAGTCTTGCAAGTGTGAGAATCTTGAGCTTTAGAATGTAAAAAGGCCCAGTGTGGTGGTGTGTACTTGCAATCCCAGTACTGGGGAGGGGAAAACAGAGGAATCCCTTGGACTGACTGGGTAGCCTCACCTAATTAATTTCTAAGCCAGCAAGGGACCCTGTCTCAAATAGCAAGGTGGAGTTATGTATGGCCTCCATACATGTATAATTGTACACACACATATATGCACATGCATACACATACATGCCACATGTAGCCTTACACAAAGGAATAAATAATAACAAAAGTTTGGATGGGCTGGGTGAATGTAATCCCAGCACTTGGGAGGAGGCAAGAAGATTGGGAGTTCAAGGTTATCCTCTATTACATAGCAAGTTCAAGACCAGCCTATAATACATGAGACTCTGTCTTGGAACTCTCCTCTAACCTTTCCTAAACTCAGGTGATTCTCACATGCAGACTTGACTGAGGGCCAACCCTTAGCCTTCTCCTGTACAGTTAAGCCTCCTCAAAGGGTTGGTTTAATAGACACCCCTCTCCAGGGACAGGATCATTTGTGTAAATGGTATGGAAGAAGGTACCTGGGGCCCTCTTACAGTATCAGGCTTCTTTTCAGGCAGGGCTGTGGAGAGAACACAATCCTGAGCCTCAGGAAGGGAGAAGCCAAGGAAGAGGGGTACCAACCCCACAAGGCAGTCAGGGTCCCACCCTACTCCCAATGAGGGCCTGCTGTGGAGAGCAGGAGAGGCCTGGGAGACAGGACCAGGAGAAGGGATCATACGTGGTATGTTTACAGGTGTGTAGTTCAGAGCCCAGGGGTCACAGAAATAGGGCTGGAGGAAGTCGATGTTGGCATGACCCACCACAATCTCCTGGCCATAGACCTGGTTGTCCACCACTTTCACCATCAGGGGCAATGCATAGGTCTCCTCCATAGGCATTAACTATGGCCCAAAAAGAGGGGAACGTGAGGCCCCTTGAGAGAGGAAGACTGTCCAGCCCCTTCCCAGGACTTCTTACCACCGTGAGGAGGAAGTTCTTTATAGGGAAGTTGGGATTCTGCTGGTAGTTGCTGATGGGGTCTGTCCTCAGGGACTGCTCCCCACATTCCACCCGGAGCTGTGGGTAACGCACCTTCTTCATGTTTCGAAGGCCCCAGGCCAAAATCTGTCAGAACCAGGAGAGAGCAGGACAAGGGGCAGGAGCAGATAGCACCTTCTTTCTTCCTTCCTTCCTTCCTTCCTTCCTTCCTTCCTTCCTTCCTTCTTTCTTTCTTTCCTTTCTTTCTTTCTTTCTTTCTTTCTTTCTTTCTTTCTTTCTTTTTTGGTTTTTTGAGACAGGGTTTCTCTGTATTGCTTTGGAGCCTATTCTGGAATTCAGTCTACAGATCAAGTGGCCTCAAACTCACAGAGATTGGTCTGCCTCTTGTCTCCTGCGTGCTGGGATTAAAGGCGAGTGCCACCAGTGCCTGGCCCAGATAGCACCTCTTAATCCGGGCGGGGAAGAGCCAGTCTGGAAGTGCAGCCTGAAGCATACCAGGGCTAGCATCTGAGGCTCTTCCCAGTCTCTCTACCCTGTGAGGGGACAGGCTGCGTCTCAAGACATGCTGTCTCCATGTAGAAGGTGCCATCTAACCATCAGCTCCTCTGCCATTCACCCCCACTGGCCTCTAAGAAGATTACATGGAACACCTGCTCACTGCTGGCTTGCTGGTTCCAGACAGTTCTCAGACATTGAGCTCCTGAGGCTGCTGACTCTAGATTGCTGACTTGTGTCCCAGACAGCTCCATGACCAACCAGTGACCCAGCACCCTGTGGTTTCTCTCTCAACTGACAATGGGCAACTCAGGAATGTCCACACCCTTCATGAGAGCCTCCTTGGGGCTGAATGGGGACCAACTACATTGGCGGGTCTTAGGAGTCACTAGTTCCATGATTACTTGATTGTTCTTTCTCTGTCAGATTGTAACAGAGCACAGAATAGCCAATGTGGGGGCCTCTGTTTGGCCTCATGCAAGGATGGGCTTACACTGTGTCTCTGTCACTTAGTCTCTGGTCACTGTGTCTGCAATGTATTGTCTCTGAGCCTTGATTTCCTTCTTGGGAAATCAATTCCTGCTGCACAGGGACCAACACAAGATAGTCCCACATCTACTCCCCCCTGCCTGACTTGCCATGTTATCCAAGCTTCAGCTCTCGTTTCTTTCGTCTCTCCTGCCTCTGAGAATGTGTATTTAGGGTTCAAGCTTTGGGCCAGGTTGTCAGAAGTGTCTCCCTAAGAGCTCCAGGGTACCCTAGGCTGCTCTGGGAAAGGCTTCCCCCCTGCCCAACCCTCCCCATCTGCACGCACCTCAATGGCCATCATTTTCACCGTGGGCTGGATGTTCTTAGGCAGTGAGTATATCCCGTCCTTAAAGGGGACACTTAGCATTGGCAGATGTACGTCTTTCTGGAGGGCAGAGGAGGGAAAGCAGGGAAGCTGAAGTCCTGGGGGCTGGTCCTGCTGCTCCTAATCCCACCCAGCATGTCCCTTAGAAAGCTCAGCTAGAGAGTTCTCAGAACCCATGGGTTGGGCTGTAAGGGAGTTAAGGGGGAGACAGGCCAGGTTGACAGCATTGAATTCAGTGTGTGGTCCTTGAACCTCAGACTTTTCCTGAGGGGAAAGGGGTGAGCCCTGGTGTTTGTAAAAACCTGGAGGTGGAGGAAGACCAGGGAGGGGCCCAAGCCCTGCTATTCTCATCTGTACCTCAACCTCGAGGATCAGCTCACAGGATGCCAAGATCTCACCCTCTTCCTCTCCCAACTCTTTCATAATTGGATGCCACCTCAGGGGGGTCAAGGTCCAGCTTTGGAGGTTCAACCAAACCACTGGGGGCCACATGCTCCGTCCCCACAAGACCTTTTTTCCCTAGAGGAAAAGGGAGTTCAGAGACTGTGGAGGCCCAAACCAGGCTTCCAACATGGGCTTCTGAGGAAGAAGGGGGAGGGGAGGCTCAGTTAACACATCTTCCTCCCTCAGGCACAGCCTGCTATACCTTAGAGTCATGCTGCCACAGTTCCAGCACCACAAATGGGGGGTTCTCTTTGGTATCCTTGGGGTTCTCAAACAGCAGAAGGTGCTGGAAGATGAGCGTCTGGGCCCACGTCGGAGCTGCAGAGCTATGTAGCGTCTGGGTACACAGGCTGTGGTTCAAGAAGACCACTCGAATGAAAGGCTCTAGAGCAGAGAAGGAGGGCAGGGGGTCACAGCTCCAAACCCCCAAGTGAGGTTCTCCTCTCCTCTGCAGCGGTAGCCATTAGACCTGAGGAGACTTGGGATGGGCAGCCACTGCCAGCAGTTCTAGAATGCTGCTTCAGCAGGAGCTGCAGATCAACTGTGCATACCCCACAGGCCAGGGGAGCCTTTGTTCCCATCTGTGTGAATGCCATGCCCACTGTGGTGGTGCGGAAAGGGGCTCTTGTAGAGAAGTTCTGGGGATAAGGCTTCCCATTATCAATTGTCCATTGCAGCGGTAAGTGTCCTTTAATATGGCTGGTTATGTTCAAGGGACACAGAGCTCGGCAAACATCCTGGAAGCCCTGCCACCACCGCTTATCTTCTATCACAGTGCCATTAACAGGACAGTGTGGGGGTACTCAGTTCACCTCCTGAATGGTTCAATGGGTCTTCCTCACTCGGGGCCTCCTCCCTGTCCCTTTTCTACAAAGCCTTAAGTGGTCCCCAGCCTGTCTGTCTCTCTGTGTATTTTTTTTTTTTTTATATTGTGAGCATTTGTGCTTTGCCTGCACTTATGTCTGTGTGAGGGTGTTGTATCCCTTGGAACTGGAGTTACAGAGAGTTGTGCACTTCTGTGTGGGTGCTGGGAATTGAACCTGGGCCCTCTGGAAGAGCAGCTCGTGCTCTTAACTGCTGAACCATCTCTCCAGGCCAGTGTGCTACTGTCTTTCATATCCCACCCTCTTTACCAGTCATCTGCCATGCAAGCCCTTTTCTAGGCCTACTAAGTGACCCCAGATAAGTGACTGAGTTCCTCAGCACTGCCCTAAATTTCACAGCATTGAGATCACATCTCAAGGGCACCTTGGATTTGTTGTCTTTGTTTGGTGGTCTTTTCCCCTAAACTGCAGTCATAAGCTTTGAGCTGGTTAGTTTTATGTCAACTTGACACAAGCTAAAGTCATACAGCAGAAAGCCTTAATTGAGAAACTGCCTCCATAAGACCAGGCTGGCTGGACGGTGGTGGTGCACACCTTTAATCCCAGCACTCGGAAGGCAGAGACAGGTGGATCTCTGTGAGCTCGAGACCAGCCTGGTCTATAAATCAAATCAAGACAGCCAGGGCTGTTACACAGAAACCCTGTGTGTGTGTGTGTGTGGGGGGGTCTGTAGGCAAACTTACAGGGCATTTTCTTACTTAGTGACTGATGTGGGAAGGTCCAACCTATTATATGTGGTGCCATCCCTGGACTGGTGGTCCTGGGTTTGTAAGAAATCAGGCTGAGCAAGCCATGAGGAACAAGCCAGTAAGCAGCAGCACCTTTCCATGGCCTCTGCATCAGCCCCTGCCTCCAGGGGCTGCCCTGTGTGAGTGCCTGTCCTCAGCGCTTTGGATGGTGAACTGGGATGTGGAACTGTAAGAGAAATAAAGCCTTTTCTTCCCAAGTTGCTTTTGGTCATGGTGCTTCATCACACCAATTGTCACCCTCACTAAGACAAGCTTCTTGGCCGTCTCTGGTGGCGCAGGCCGGAAGGATTTGCTGAAGGAGGCAGGGGCAGGTGGATCTGGAGTTCGAGGCCAGCCTGGTCTCCAGAGCGAGTGCCAGGATAGGCTCCAAAGCTACACAGAGAAACCCTGTCTCGGGGGAAAAAAAAAAAGACAAGCTTCTTGGGAGAGGGATCTGCATCTTTGTTACATATTCATCACGGATGTAAGTGGATGTGTTACCTGGCCTTGGGGGATGGGAGACAGAGCTGAATGGCAGGGGGCATCCTGTGTTACATTTGTTTATGCTGTGGAACATTTGTTTAATGATGCAAATATGTGTTGCATTCTTTTACGTTGCATTTGTTTAACTCTGTGAAGCTGTGTTACTTTGCCTGTTTAAAATACCTGATTGGTCTAATAAAGAGCCGAATGGCCAATAGCTAAGCAGGAGAAAGGATAGGCAGGGCTGGCAGGCAGAGAGAATAAATAGAAAAAGGATTGAGGAGCAAGAAGGGAAAGAGAGGAGGACACCTGGGCCAGCCACCCAGCTACACAGTAAGCCATGGAGTAAGAAGTGAAGAAAGGCATATAGAATAGAAAAAGATAAGAGACAAGTGGCAAAAGGTAGATGGGATAATTTAAGAAAAGCTGGCTAGAAACAAGCCAAGCTAAGGCCGGGTGTTCGTAAGTAAGAATAAGCCTCCATGTATTTATTTGGGAGCTGGGTAGAGGGCCTACAAAGAACAAAGAGCAAGGAGTGAAAAGCTACCAACTGCAGCATTCCTACCCTGAAAGGTCAGGATCTGGTTGTACATCAGATTCCGGGCCCGGTAGATATAGCAGAAGAGCTGGTAGTAGTGAGGCTCTGGTAAAGAGAAGTCTCGTTCATTTCCTGTCCCCAGCTCTTCATAGCCTCCTCCCTACTCCCTGGCCTCAGGCCCTGGCCTCTGGGGCCACTCAGTAGACTCCCAGGTCAGGGCTCACTTTGGAATACGCAGTAGATGAAAGGCATGTTGGGGATCCAGGGATCCTCCTGCATGCGCCTCCAGGAGTCCCACCACGACCTGGTCCTATGCGGTTCCGGCTTAGATTGGTTTTCCAACTCCGCTGCCTGTGCCTAGAAAGGCCCCCCGCTTAAGGTTCCCAGTACTTCCCGACTCCTCTCTCCAGGCCCTAGCCCCACCCCCACCCCCTGCAGATGCCAGCTGCCAAACCTGAAGAGTTGGGGCCCAGCGGAGGTCAGGGGTGTGTGCTCCTGAGCCTCCGGGAGTTAGAGGTAATAGACAAGTGCTGCCCAGACCACGGAAGTCTTACCAAGGATCCCTCCAGGAAGAATATGGGAGCCACACCCCTCTCCTTGTTGGGTGCCAGCCGTCGGTGCCAACAGCGGCGCCGGAACCGGCTTGTTGGCTTTGGGTCCAGGTGGAACTTGGAGTCAAAGGTGCCATACTCCCAGCCCTCCTTTCCCTCCTCAGAGATGTCTTGCTGCCGGGAAAAATGCAGGGTCTCAGAGTCGTGCTCCTGTCCCTGCTTTGCAAGTGACCCCGCCTGTCCCAGCTAGGGCCTTTGCTCCAGATGCCTCACCGTCTGTAGGAAGGAGAGAGTCTCCTGCTCCTGGCTCAGCTCCTGGTGATCCCGGAAGCGCACACGCACCCAGCGTCGCCTGCGGCTTGAATGGTAAGTCTTTTCCACCGAGTTCCAGATCTGCGGCAGGCCAGAGGGTGGGATCCCCACTCCATACTCCCAGCCTGCAGGGGCAGGACCATGGCTTCTGAGTCCACTTGTACCTGCAGACTTGGGGGGCTTTGATGTGCCTGAGAGAAGGACCCCTAGAGGGATAGGTCCTGGGGGAAAGAGGGCCCTCTTGTCCAGGAGGATGGGCTCGAATTGTGTAATTTGGACTACATGAGACCAACTGCAGCAATTGTTTGTGTCTGGAGCCCAGGCCTCAAGACATCAACTCACTGCTCCTTCCCTGGAGCCACTTCGGGAGAGGGGAAGCTCTATAACCAAAACCATGTTCACAGGCATTCATCTGCCAGGCTGCTCAGGGCTGGGCCTCAGGAAGTGCCTGCAGCATCTCAATACTAGGGGCTGTGTCTGCTGAATGGCTGTGTCCTATTCCCTTGAGACGGGGAACTCCCAGGAATTCAGACACGTCTTGCCTGAGAGTTTGGCCACTCACGGGCTGCTAGAAGAACCAGACTTGAATGCTTCAGGGCTCCAGGCCTACATGCCCTCAGACTTGATCAGAGACTGACCTTCACTGTCCACTGCATAATTGTGATCCACAATCCAGCTTTTCTTAAAGTGCCAGCCTTGGGGACACTTAACATTCTCCATGGCTTCCACAGGCTGTCCATTCTGTATGGATGTTGAAGGTGAGGAAGGGTCATGTGAGGTAGATGAAGCTTGCCTTCACTTGTTTTCTCACACACACACACACACACACACACTGCTGTCTTTGAACTTCCAGCCACCCTGTAGGCCAGAAAATCTTGCTACTTCTGCTGCCACCGGGCTCATTTATTTAGAGGTGAACAACTCTTTCCTTGTTGCACTGGGGACAGATTAGACTTGCATGGTTCTACTCAGTGGCCAGTAGCCTCTGGGTTAACTAAAATGAAACAAAGTTCAAAGGCTAGTTCCTATATCTTAGCACTGTATTTCTTGAAGAACCATGGAATGGTGGAGTGATAGAGAGGACAGAATATTTCTGTCAGGACAAAGTAAGTTGAGTGTGTTTGAGTATGTGTGTGTGTGCTCGAACATACTCACGCATGTGGAAGCTGGGAGTCAGTCTCATTGCTCAGGAGCCCATTGGTCTTAGTTTTTGAGATATTGTCTCTTACTGAGATCTGGGGGTTTATCTGTTAATTTAGACTGTCTGACCAGCAAACACTAGGAGCGGGGCCTAACTGTTTCTGCCTCTCTGCCTCTGGGACTGTAAGAATATACTACCATGCCTGTTTTTTTTTTGTTTGTTTGTTTTTATTTTGTTTCTGTTTTTGTTTTGTATTTTTTTGTTTTGTTTTTTTATGTGGAAACTGGGAATAGAACTCAGGTTCAAACTTGAAATCCTGGGTTCAAGTGATCATTTTGCCCTATCTCCTGAAGCAGCTGGAATACAGGCCTCACAGTGTCTAGCTCTTTCTGATGTCCAGTTTAATGTCTGCAGCTTGCTATCCTTGGGCACAACCCCTTCATTAGTGCTAGAAGAACCTCAGAGCTGAAATACTTATCTGGGGTCCCACAGCATGCATGAAACAGAGCTCAGACATAGTTCTTATTGCTGGGACACCCCAAATTCTGAGTCCCTCCATCTGGCCCTTGCCTCTCTCCCTGTACCCAGTGGCGGGATGGAGACACTTACCACGTCTGTGTTGGGAACAGCTGCAGGCACCCAAATGCCTTTGGCATTGCGGGTCTGATTTTCATACACCTCTTCCAGCACCTGGCTCTTGTTGATGTCTGTGTCCAGGAGGAGTCTGGGCAGCAATGAGACCCCAAGTCCCCAGAGCTGTCTGAACTTCCTGGGATCATTCTCTGCTGGCCAGGCACCCATATGTGACGTCCCACCTCCCTTTAGCTAGGCAGAGCCTGGCAGGCAGACAGGTGTTGGGCAGGGCTGCTGGTCTTGTGTATTCCCACTCACAGGGACTAGCTCAGTAGCTTTGGGGCCCACCTCTTTAAGTTCCTACTAGCCCTCCCAGGTGAGAGGAGTCACACAGTAGAATGTCCCAGGTGCTAGGTCAGGACATGCATCATCCTTACCTCCTCTGAGGCTCCACTATCCAGTCACCCTTCCAGTGCCATCCCAGGGGAGTCTTGAAATCTGTCTTGGGGACAGCCTTGCGTCCCAAGACATCTGAGAAGTTGGGGCATCTGTACAGTCCCTGCTGTCCCCACTGGCCTTTCACCTTGGCCTGATTCTCATACTGGGGGAGGGGAGTCCAGTCAGTGTCCATACCTCCTCCACCAACCACCTTGGTGGTAGGGATGTAGAGACTCTTGTTCCCTAACCTTTAGAAATGTAGTAGCCAAGCAAGACAGTTCCATATCCCAACTGTACCTAGGAGACAGAGGCTCAGCAGTCAACACCACCCACCACTGCACAGGTAGCAGAGGAGCAGGGTGATGCCCAGGTTAAAGCCTGTGTCTTCAATGTGACCTGCCTACGTCCTAGTCACTGCTGACCTGAGAAACTCACCCTCCTGTGCTACCCCCATGTCTTTTCTCCTACAACCTCTTCCATCCCTTCTCTGTCCCTGACTTATGCAGGACTGGTTAGACACAGCTGTCCCTTGACTAACCTCAGGGAATTGGTTCTAGAATGCCCCTGGGTACCACAATCCATTCTCTAGCCTCTTACATTTTAAAATGGCCTAGCATCTGTGTATAGCATATACTTTAATCATCTATAGATGACATAAAATGCAATACAATGCTATGCCAACAGTTGTCCTAGTGTATTTTTTTCCTTTTCCTTTCTTTCTTTTTTCTGGTTTTTTGAGACAGCATTTCTTTTTGTAGCTTTGGAGCCTGTCCTGGAACTTACTCTATAGACCAGGCTGGCCTCAAAATCACAGAGATCTGCCTCCCACATGCTGGGATTAAAGGCGTGTGCCATCACCACCTGGCTCTAGTGTATTCTTAAGGTCATAGTGACAAGGAAAAAGGTATGTACACTTTTGGTATAGATGCAGCCATCATGAACTTAACTAACTGCACTTTCAAGCCGCTGTTGGTTCAGCACATAAATGGAGATACAGTTGAAGGGGGAGCTGACTGTATTATGGTATGTTATCAACACATGCAACTTAAAACATAACAATGTTTTAAATCCACTTTTTTCTTTATTGAAATAGCCCAGGTTAGCCTGGTACTCTTTATGTAGCCCAGGCCAATGTTGAAATCTCAGCACTTCTCCTGTTAGAATTCTGTAACTTAAAAGGCCTGTATTGAGGAATTCTGTCTTCCAGACTTGACATGGCCATTGCTGTCCTGAAAT